CGCCCGCTGCCGTCGGCTCCTGAGCCCGGTGCCGGTAGTTGATGTGCCCACGCTCGGTTGACAGATGGCTGCCGGCGCTCGCTCGCCGCCGCCCTCGCGTCACTCCACTGCCGCTGACAGACCCTGGGCGGCTGGGTGGACGGGCCTTCCTGCATGTTACACTATGTCCGAGCACACTCAACATAGTCTCTAGAACGCTTTAATAACATGGAGGTAGTCCTTGTGTGCTCAGCGTGAGTGAGAACCATATCCTTGACTAGTGGTGGCATGGTGGCCGTAGGCCTGTTTAAGAGGCTTGCAAGACTGTCATCTGATGGCGTCCATGTTGCATAGATGTGCCTCTAAGCAACACTGGGAATAGCTATGGTACTCACAACTGAGAGTGATACTATACTCCAGCTTGATAACCTTCATATGCGTCATAATTTCGCTGGACAGACATGATTATGACCCCCACAGGTGCCGGATTAAACGTGTTTGACTCGATATTTTGATTGCGCACATTTTCTCCCTCTCTCCGAAACGGGCGGTGTTCCATGCTTGACTAGATGCAATGAGAACACCGATCATAGCTAAGTAACAGGCATTTAGTATAAAATTATTGCAGCGTTTTTAAGATTTTCGATGAATGATAAAGCTCAGCATCATGGAAACGACCATTCGTGTCGAGTACGCGCCGTGGATATCAGTGTGGTGCGCAGCAGTCCTTTGATCCCTGAAAAGTATTTTGTGGATCAGGCATTTGACTACGGATATTAACAGTGTATGAGGTGGCTGGTACCGCTACCGCTCTGCTTTCTGAGGTAGCGGTACCGCTACCAAATGTTCGCGGAATGTGTTGCATACATTTGTACTCAAGATGATTCGCATATTTTCCGTGGATCAGAGGCCAATCTAAAAGACATTTCCAAAACACTCACCACTTTTCATTTCGGCGTGATCCTTAACAGAAGGGGTTACACCAGATAGTTTAATACGTCCCAGAACGTGAAGAGCTGAACTCGTCATTTACATTCGGTGCTTAGCTTTCCCGGTGGAAGGCGCACTCCCGTTAGGCACTGGTGACCAATGTACTGCGCGGCGACAAGAGTGTGCAGGCCACGCACTCTGCATGCAGGGCGCGCGTAACGAACCTCCGTTTGTTGCACGCTTAGAGGACAGCCTGGGACGTCGCCGCGAAGTGATCAGGTAAACAGGGGAGGGCGTCGGCGCGGGGCGGGCGCGCTCGGTCAGACGAGGCTGGCCACCGCGGCTCCGCCGTGCCGCAGGAGGGGAAGGGGGAGGGGAGGTGGCGTAGCTGTCTGGTTGTCGGACACCGGCGGCCGGCTTGCCACTTAGGGGGAGGGGGGGGGGGGCACTGCCTGCGCACATCGTATGGTCTGCGGTGTTCCGCTTTGTGGCCGCCAGATCGTGGCGCTCGCGCTCCCGTTAGCTGTTGAAAATCGCGCGAACGGGCGTCGGCCGTCCGGCGCGGGGTGCTGGCCGGGTGTTTCTTCCTCTCGTGCCGGGCCCCAGCGCGCGTGCCGTCTGACGACCCTGTCCGCCTGCCTGCAGTTCTTCGTCGTGGCCACTCCTTGGGATTGGAGGCTACTGAGAGAATGCTTTCCGTCTATTGGGGATGACGTGTGTGAATGCGGCGTAAGTTGCGTAACGCTGTCCGCATGCCCCGAGTCGTTAAGGTCGACGTTTTCCACGGGTCGCGGGCCTCAGAACGCCCGTCCTGGCTCGGCATGCCGATGTGGTGGTTGCCGCTGGTTCCGTGCGCACTGACGGCGCTGGCCGCGGCTGACCCGAGGCCAGGTGTCACCAGCGTGACCCCAGCAGTCAGGTCAAGGCCACAGCAGTGGCCCGGCGCTTTGAGAGTGGCTTTGGCTGTCGTATGACGTGTGTAGTTTTGCACGCTCGTCGCTGTCGGTTCGTGAGAAGAGTTAGCCACCTTGGCCGGTATTGCGGAAACGGCACGTGTTTAGTGATTGGGTCTGTTATAATGGGACTGAAATTCCATAATGCATCGTGTTCGCATCGTAGGAGGGATCAAGCTGAGCACCGTTGTGGTCAGAATGCACTTTTGCAGAGTAATCTGGGGGCTCAGAAAGGCAAATTTACCTCAGAAATACAGCAAAATGGTCTCCACGAATTTTGACCACTTTCTTCTCAACTTGCGTTAAATGGGGCCCCTTGCTCCCAACCCTGCAGGAGAACTTAGGAAACCTCCCCATAGCCAACGCCATGGGATTGCCAATCCACAAGCTGTAGTGTGCACAGCCGAATGAGCATAGTGCTGAGTACAATTGCCCCAGGCATTCCACCCCCAAAGGAACCAGGTCAGCGTGTTGAAGCTCCTCGTCGTCAGACCATAAGCGTGGAGCTCGCCAGCATAAATCCCAGCTTCCATGTTATTGTTCACCAGCACCGAACCAGTGTCCAGGTTTTCAGTCATCAGATTGCGCAACATGCTGATGTATTTCCGGGGACTGAATTTCCCTCGTCCCACAAGACATTGTCGCCTCAACAGAGCACACTTAGTATCCCTATTTCCAGCTGTTCGCACAGAGGTGTGCAAACAGCTGGAGCAATACAGCTCCACACAGAGATATCCAGCGCAGATGCACCAGCCACGAAAACGCATTGCATGTGGGGCCGCGTGCCCGGGCATGCATGACAATCACACGGAGTCTGTGGAGTCACACGAAGTCACATGGAATCTGCGAAGTCGCACGGAGTCACACGAAATCACACGAAGTCACACGGAGGTTGCAGAGCACCGTGCAGAGCATGCTCAACGGCACGTTACTGCACGTCACTGCATGGGTCTGGCGGTGATATCAAGCGGTGTTCGAGGCAGTTTTCGCTGCACCTCTGGCCCCCTGGCCCTGTATGTGGGGCGTCCACTGAGATTCGGCTAGTATCGGGGGATCCAGCTGGTGTCGGGAATCCAGCCGGTTTCGGGATCCAGCTGGTGTAGGGGATCCAGCTGGTTTCGGGATCCAGTTGGTCTCGGGGATCCAGCTGGTGTCGGGATCTAGCTTCAGCTACGCTCCCTCTGCTGGAAGGAGCGCTGCAGCGTCCACCGAGCCTCCCGCAGAGACGCTGCACATTGTCATCCTGAGAGTACGCCCCCGTTATGGTCCCGCTCCCGCTCCTGTCCCCTGTCATGGTCCCGCTCCCGCTCCTGTCCCCCGTTATTGTCCCGCTCCGCTCCTGTCCCCGTTATGGTCCCGCTCCCGCTCCTGTCCCCGTTATGGTCCCGCTCCCGCTCCTGTCCCCCGTCATGGTCCCGCTCCCGCTCCTGTCCCTGTCACGGTCCCGCTCCCGCTCCTGTCCCCTGTCATGGTCCCGCTCCCGCTCCTGTCCCCCGTTATTGTCCCGCTCCCGCTCCTGTCCCCCGTCATGGTCCCGCTCCCGCTCCTGTCCCCCGTTATGGTCCCGCTCCCGCTCCTGTCCCCCGTCATGGTCCCGCTCCCGCTCCTGTCCCTGTCACTGTCCCGCTCCCGCTCCTGTCCCTGTCACTGTCCCGCTCCCGCTCCTATCCCTGTCACTGTCTCGCTCCCGCTCCTGTCCCTGTCACTGTCCCGCTCCCGCTCCTGTCCCTGTCACTGTCCCGCTCCCTGGTCGGCCCGGCGATGGTGTGCGCCGCGTCAGGCCACATCGGCAAGAGGAGGGGGGGGGGGGGGGGCGCAGCCGAGCGTTTGTAAGGAGTTTGGCGACGAAAGACCCACTGATGCAACGTGACTGATGTCACTGATGCAAAAACTGACGTCACTGAGGTCCGAACCCCCAACACGTCGCGTGAGCTTCTAACAGTCCGCACGTGTCGCAGCATAACACCGCCGCCAGCTCTCTAACAGGCCACGGCGGTCTAACGCCCGTCTAACGCCGCATGTTGTTACAGCGCCCGGCGTTGCGGCAATATCCACCGCTGAGTACCGCCCCCTGGTTCTGGTCATGGCCGGCCTCAGCCTCCTGCTTCTGTTTGTCGTGCTCGTTGCCGTACTTTGCACGTACAGGTAACGGCCATGCGACGTCACGGCATGACGGTGACGTCACGCATGAGTGCTTGCGGCGGCGCGCCTGGTTGCCAGGCGACGGTGGAGTCCCGTCTGACAAGCGTGTGTTGCAAGCTTGGTGTCGCTCTACGGAATGCGCGCGAAGCTGATGTGGACATGATGTGGACTACGTTGTTGGTTTCGGCAGCGAGCTGCCGTGATGAAAGCTTATAGTTCTAGTGACATGCAGGAGCATCCGCATAGCTATGTTTCCATTTTCAAAAGTGAAACCTTAGGTTGTCTGCCACTCCGATGTGCTTAAGAATGCGGCGTACTGACGGGCTGCTGCGTCGAAATGATACCTTCGTCGATGCTGGGAGGGACGCCGATCGCGGTGTCGAGCCCTCCGCGCCGGTCCTAACGCCGACCGTGTTGCAGAAAAAGGCGGGAAGGAGACGAAAAGAGCGCGGTCGCCTTGGCAGGTTCAAAAAACGGTGCGGCGATGAGACCGGCGTCGCGGCGCCACTCGACAGCTTCGGAGGGCCGGAACCAACAGGTGAACTTCGTCGGGCGGCGGCGGCGGCCCCTGGTGGCCGGCTGTGCCGCCGCGCTCGCGTGTCGGGCGGCGCAGTCTACCCGGCGCTTGGTCGGGCCCCGCTGCACCAGAGCGGCGGCGGTGATGGGTCACCTTGTGGCTCTGTGGTGGTGGCTGCTGCCATCGTGCGTTGAGAAATACTCATGGCTAGCACGCTTGTATGGCGTCTGAATTCTTGGCTGATAGCGGCCGGCAATTGTTCTCATCCCGACGCCGTACAGAATTTCCATTCTTTTTCGGAGGAGGGCACCCTGAAGAGATGCTTCTTTATGAAAAAGTGGCCAATGCGCTGTAGAAACAGGTCTTGTTATGCTCGTCCTGCGCTGATGTTTTGCTCCCTCCGCAGCATTTTTTTTTTTTAGATAAATTTTTGTCGAGCCATCACGCGGTCGTCGGCAGCCGTTCCCGTGCCTGTGTCTGTCCGTGTCTGTCATTGTCTGACTGCGGTCGCGCGCGTGCTCACTTGTTTGGCGGTGCTCTGACTGGTTGCGCGTCGCGCCGGCAGGTGTCGCCCTGGCGTCGGTGCCACTCGTCGACCGAGTTAAGTGCGGAGGCGCCGGCCGCCGCCCTGCCGTCGGCCGCCAGCGTGCAGCAGCTGGACTCACTGCTGCACTCGCTCGGCGCCGATTCGTCTGCACGGCCGGCAGCCGGCCCCACGTCCATACCAAAGATGCTTAGTCAGTAGACAGTGAACGCGTAGAGACAAGCGCCGCAGCCGACCGTCGGCTCAGAAGACCAAGCACACGTTAATTTTGAATTCCAAGACTTTGGCGGAGAGTGAGGGGAGCGCGCGTGATGCAGCTGATGCATAATGCAAGTGATATTTATTAAACGCTGTTTGGTGTTGAGGCGGTCTCGCGACCACCGGTCGGCGAGAGCGAGTATTTTTCTCGAGAGAGAGCGCGTGAACGAGAGCGAGCGAGAGAGTTCGAGAGGGCCAGCTATCGGCAGATAGCCGCCTTTTCACGGCTTGACACCGCAGGGAATGTTTATGCCGTGGACGTTTTTAGTGTTCAAAATATCTTTGCGTTGGAAGATATTTTCCTATATTTGTACAAACTTGATTTTGACCGCAGTTCCCAGTGCGGAACAGTAGAGCCACAGTGCAGCGGCGTCGGTCGGCCCTGGTGGTGGCTTCACGAACCACGTCCGGGCCGGTCCTGAACTACGATTGGTCGAGGCGAGCTTGCACTCGCGCTGTCGGCAAGGCTGGTCGGCGCGTCGGAGATATTCCGGCTCGCGCAGGCGTGGGCCGCCGTTTGGTACATCTAGTCACAGCTGAATAATATTATCTCTAGTTTGGTACGGGAGGTCACCCGTACCCTTCTCCCAGGGGCTCCGGAGAGCGTACAAAAAGAGCGGGCTTGCAATGTTTGCCTCGCGTTTTGTTGTTTTCATCTAACCGAGTGCTGCAAAGAACGTAACGTAACGAAACAGTCGTCCGACGGCGTCAACCATATTACGTGTCGATTTCCTGTGCCCCTGTTCTGTCCCTCCGGCAGTACTAAAACTAGAATATTATGTTGCTCAAGCGGTGAAACGTGGCGCCCGGCGCGCGGGCGGATACTGTGCTGTACATACGTGTGAGTCGATCAGTCGTGTAGGACTATTTAGTTAATACCTGTGCAGCTAGTGTTCGTGGTGCCCGTCAACTGTTTGTGATTCGTCTGTTTGTACATACACAGTCCAAGCGACTGCTGATGACGCAGATGGCGCCGACAGCTCTGCGTTCCGCTTCCCGTCTCTTGCTTGTCGGCCCGGCCTTTACTCGCCTTGCTGTTCGCTTCCGCTGTGCTTGCGGCCGTGCGCTGTGCGCTGTGAATGCGGGCGACGCTGTGTGGTGTCGCCGGGTTGCGCCGTGTCCTGACCAGCAGGGCAGCGACAACCACACCGCGATCGCCCGGACCCTGCCCGAGGCCCCCCTCCTGCCCGGACCTCCGCGCCAGATCCTGAGCGAGTCCCCAATCCGATCCTGTCCCCGATCCTCGTCCCGTTTCACGTCCGAGCCCTGTTTGGACCGCTGAGTCCCCGTCCGCTCTCGTCCCACCGCGACCCCCGCCTGCCCGCGTCACCGACGCTGTCCTCGTGGTCAGGGGCGCACCTCCCTCCTCCCTCTCCCGAAGCGGCCACCGGCTCGGTCTCGCACAGCGGCCAGAAGCTGCTCGACCCCCGGCCGCGCCCGGACACGGAGCGCAGGTGTCCGCACGTGTCCACACGTGTCCGCACGTGTCCGCACGTGTCCGCTGTCCGCCGCTGTCTGCGCTCTGCCCGGGACCCCCGCCCGCTGGCTGGTCCAGGGGCCTGTGCCGGCCGCACAGGTCGGCACCTGTGTGACCTGCGTGACCTGTGTGACCTATGCCGGCCGCCGGCGCCCGAGCGCAGGCCGCCCGGTCGGGCCGCCGCGTCAGCACGGTCCTCCTCCAGACCGCCATACAGTGGAGACTGATGTTTTTCTTGTTCAGAAGTGGCCACAAACAATAAACTTCACAGTGGACCGGTTATGTTGTGTGAGAGCGAAAAAGTGCCGTGTGAGGGCGCCGGGGAACGTGTCAAGGTGCCCACGAATCAGCACGGCTTCCGGCGTGGACTGCGACGGGGGACACGCAGGGGACACGAGGGGGGCACGAGGGGATAGGTAGGGGACACGAAGAGGGTACGAAGGGGATGCGAAAGGGATACTAAGGGGATACGAAGGGGGCATGAAAGGGACACGAATGGGACACGAAGGGCACGCTAAGGGGATACGAGGGGGATGCGAGGGGATACGAAGGGGACTACGAAGGGGACATGAAGGGAATATTAAGGGGACACAAAGGGGACACGAAGGGGCTCGATTGACAGAGGAGCTCACCGCTGTGAAGACTAAGTCATCTTGGAACGTTGCCTGCTCGATCAGTTTTCCATAGGTGGGCTTCGCAAAAAGCTATGGGTATTGGCAGCGGTTGTGCATCTTTGTCTATTAAATAAAACCTCCAGACTTTTAGTCCCCTCCCCCCCCCCTACATACCCCGCTTTGTTCCCAATTGCATGGACATGATGCGTAGTCGAGATTTCGAATATCCGTCTCCCGTCCCGTCTCCCGTGGCAGTGACGTCACGCGGTGGGGAGCCCAAGCGGTGACGTCACGCGGTAGGAGCCCGGGTGATGACGTCACGTGGAGTGCTCCCCGTTTTGCGTGAGGTGTGATACTTAGAGGGAATGTTCTGTATTGGAAAACATTGAAGAAATCATCAGATAGGGTTAAATTGGCTTACATATAGCTGTTGGTATGCATTTAAGTGAAAAAGGCCTGCTATTAACGACAAAATTTCGCTGCTTAGTCAAAATGCTCCTCAATGCGTCATTGATTCGTTGCGTCAACGTACCTTGCACAGCACTAATTGAAAGCCAACTGATGACCATTATATCTGGAAATCGTGCTCACTAAAGTCACGAAATGTTGACTGAAATGAAAGTTACATACGGAAGTCTCGACAACGTTATTTGTTTTGGCCTTGATCGCAGCACGGCCGGTGGAATGGCAAGATTGGAAAGCGTTATCATGGTGTCATAGATGCCTGGGTGACCTTAAAATAGACCCCACGAAATCGTCTGCACACTTTGCGGGCATGAAGCTAAGGAACTAGGGGAAATTTGGGTCTTAAAAAGGGCAGGGCTGTGAACTGCACCGAATGGTCTTCAAGATGACTATTTCAGTTTGAAAACCCCCATACAAATGTGGAACACTCCGTTTCAATGCCTACTGTTTCCGGGGGGGGGGGGGAGTTGATTTGACAACCCTCGGTTAACGTGTCGGCGTTAATGCGTAGTGGTTGAGGCGTCTGCGTTAACTACTACGCGTCTGGGAAACCCGAGGTACGGGGTTCGATTCCCCGCAGTGCCCGCCCTTCCTGTCAGGGTGAGAGGCAAGCGAAGCCATATTCGTACAGTCCCAATGACACACATACATATGAAACGTACGGCTACATTTCTAAAAATTCCTTCTTAGAGCTTTGCGTGGCAAAAGCGCGGCATATCGACACTCTGCGATGCATTTTTAGCCCTGTGCGAATCAAATTTTCCCAAGTAGTCTTCTGAATGTACAAAATTATTTTCAGAGCTGCTTGACTTCGCATGCGATGCAATTCCAACACCGTCTGAAAGCTGACTGGTTCGCTGACTTTGAATCCGGCTCACAGAGATCACTTGAAGCGACGCTCGTCTCAGCCTTGCTTTAACCCTCCAAGACTTATTTGAGTTGATCCTAAAGCTGATTTAATAAACAGGGGTGCATTGCAGGGTGAGCCATCATGTGGTCGATTCCGTCTAGGGAAGGGCGCAACGCAACTGTTGACAAAATCAGTGCTGCATCAGAACTGGTGTCCTTGTTCAATTTAGAAAATGTTACGGTTTTGATGATACTGAGGCAAGCATCAGAAATGATGAAATAAGCTCACTTATAGCTGTTGGTACACTTTTGAGTAAAAAAGGTTTCTCTAGGCAACAAAACTTATTGCGTGATCACGTGATTACGCGATCAAACAATCACGCATTGAAATTCCGTAAGTTGTTCAGTGTATTAGAGAGGAACACTTTTCTCATAGATAAGACAGTAGTATTAGTCTTATTCCACTGAGAAAACCAGGAGAATGTTGAGAAAGTTGGGTTAATATTTCGGCCACATGCCTTTATCAAGACAATAGCACTTTTAGTACGGTTTCGACAAAGGCATGTTTCTGAAATATCAACCGAACTATATCTCCATTCTCCTAGTTTTATCCGAGGAATAATGCTAGCACTACTGTCTAATCACGTATTGAGTGTCATATTTACTAAACATAGCCATTGCCCTGTCTAGAGCAGCCTTTTCCACTTAAAAGTATACCAATAGTGATAAGTTAGCATATTTAATCATATCTAATGCTTGCTTTAATACATTCAAACGTGAAACATTGCTTCAAGGGCGCTCGGCGTCGAGGACATGTAGCGCTCTGGATAATCAAATGCTCCCACCCCAACCATTCCATTCGTTCAACTCTCTCGGTTTAGTTTATTTTTGGATTCGAGCCGTTTCGACCAGACATGATCATTTCAGGGCTATGGGATGAAGGAAAATGGTGAACGGTGGGGCAGAATTGCATGCGCATGGGGGGGGGGGGGCAACAGCCAAGCTTTAACCCGCGCATGCACGCTTGGTACCCGGTCGGGGTCCCCTTCCCACGGGGCTCTCGGCCCACTCGTGGCTGACGCATGCAGCCTGCCCCGGACAGGCGGGGTGTCGCCAGGATGCAGGATGAAGCAAGATAGAGGATAAGAGGGACGGATGCTCAACGCTCTCGTAGTCTGTTGTTACACACGTCTGCGCCCACGCGGAGCCCACCTGAAGAATCCACGTGCATTGAGCCGCCTTTGCATACAACAGATTGCTGCCAGATGTGAC